CACGAGAAGTGCAAAAACGCATAATCGCACCGGCCCGCCTGGTGCGTTCCAGCCTGGGTTCTTCTCAATGTCTTGACTGCTAGTGCACTGCTTATGCCTTTTTTCAACTGATTTGTGATTGTTTTGCAGCTTACTGATAGGTTTCATTGGCAGTCAAAACCGATCACTACTAGAAGGTGTGGCATATACGCTTGGGATATTCGCTTGCGCCGAACTTCGTTCATTTCTTGTAAACTATCACTTTTACGTAATGATGCGTGTGGGCATCAAAATTCAATCAACGCTCACAGCTGCTATTTATCGAAAAGTAAGCGATTTGGTAACACATGCATACATCAGTATTATATGTCTAGCTAATATCCGCACCTTCATATTATTAGTGCAGCTATAGCTCAAAATAAAATGAATTGAATAAATATTATTGGCTATTCGGAAATGCAGAGGTATCACAGAGCATCGATGTTACCTCTTTTGCAAATGACAGAAATTTAGAGGGAATCGAACCACTTCTCTTCACTGCTTCTAGCTTCTTTGAATCGTGACGTGTTATCCATTACACCACCGACATTTGAGCTCATTGCATATGTCACTGTGAACTTGTACCGGTGTGTATGTTATCCATAAACATACACTTTATAATTTCTGCTCCCGCAACACGAGGGGCAAACATTACCAGTTCTTGTCGGCTTTTCACAGTTCTGTGCAATTTCACAAATTCAGCCATCAGAATCCCTATTAAATTCAATTTCGCAATTTTTGTAGACTCTGCGATTATCAAGTTCGGCAAGAAAAGGCAAAACAGTAGGAGAAATTGTTAATTTGATGGCAATCGATGTTGAACGTTTTCAAACAGTTGCACCGTATATCCAACTGCTTTGGTCTTGCCCATTCCAGGTAGCTTGTTTTTTGTGGGTAAAAAAAATATATGGTATTGCATGTTGCACATAAGTTCAATGTTCTCTTCTCTTAGGCGATTATTCTTCTTGTGCTGTGAAATTTAATAAACTAGAGTCAAAAATTTTAATATTTGGCTTGTGCTTGCTTAAACTTTCGATCCTCCACTCAAATTTCTGTCCCGATAGGTAAAGTTAAGTTTACCTTAGCTAATCAAGTTTGGTGCCCGATGAAACAGCAGCTGACCAAAATATCAAAGTAACTGTGCTTTTGCTTATTCGTACAACCCATTGCAGATTACATTAGCTTTGATTTATCTGTTTTACACGCTTGGAGCATCGGCAGCTTGTGGTGTTGCTGTCATGATTTTATTTCTGCCATTGAACATTCTCAGTTCAGTTATTATCAAAAAATGGCAGGTTTGCGATGATTCAGTAACATTTTTTTGAAATGCGAATAATTCATTTCATTTAGTAGTTTGAAGAT